AGCCTGAGAGGTAGGTAGCGATGGTTCCAGCCATATGATACCCATGCAGGCAGTTCTACAACGACGGAGGGAAACACTTCTCCAGCTTTCAGCTTTTAATTTTCCGCTCTCCCCTTGGTCAATAAATGACAAAAACCACGACATTTCCCTGTGGGTTCTGTGGTGGATATTAGAATCCCACTGGCGTATAAATCGTACAAATCTTGTAGTCTTTTTGACAATACTCGCTTCAAATGTCTCAGTCTTAATTCTCGTGGACTCAGAAGCGATTCTGCTTGCCGGACGCTAAGCCAAATTTCATTTATTATTTATACTAAGATCGACAGGATTTGGTAGGGAACAAGAAAAGACCGATCGATCGCTATTTTTTTCCAAGTAGGAAAGCTTTGTTAGGAGTTAATTAAACGAACACGGAGCATAAAGGCCCCAATGAGTGGTTGGAGAGCTAGCGTTCAGTCATTGAAAACAAGAGCTGACAAATGACAGTTAGTGGAGTATTCCAGGGTGCTGTTCTCACTTCATCTCTCAGAACAACTTTTAGCCCTTTTTAAACCAAATATCCCCCCTTTCTTTGAAGGTAAGCTCCTTTCCGAACCGTAATCACAGTGTTCAATTACATTTTATCAACATTTACTTCGATCGCATTAGGAGCGTGCGCCAGTAATTTGTCGCCTTTAGAGGTATTTGTAAACCTGGATAGAATTAACCACGTTGACACGAGCTACCGTCGTCGGAGTACTCAGTAACATGGTGAATCTTGACACCTTAAATGACCTTCTTCCTCGGTGCTAATGTGAAAATGACCGTCAACATTGTCATAACGTCATTTTCAAAAACACAAAATGGCACCCACGGACGTGAAGTTCCCACGATTCGTTTTGGTAAGTGGAATTAGTAGAGAGTAGGGTGAACTTTGATTGTGGCCAGACAATGTAACATCAGCATTTATTGACTCTTCATGATTCCACACATGCCAATGGATCCGGTGTCCCTATTCAAACAGATAATACCTACTCGTATATCTACTCGTATTTAGAACAGTTTCTAAAACTTACCGATTCCATTATTATTGCTTTCTTAGGCAGTCTTGCTATTGGAAACAATATATGTTGTGTTCGTACAGTTATTAAGCTGTGTGCCATTTATCGAGTGTAATACGTAATAGTCTGAAATTTTTATTTCCTTTGATGGTTTGACATTCACAGTTGGTGTTCTCCACAGCGGGGCTCATTGGCAGTTTTGATCTTCAAAGATAACCATTCCTGGTCTAAGTGTTGGTGGGAATAACTGAACACTGCCATGAACTTTTGAGAGATCCCGGGGGAGAATATACGAATTGTTTAAAAAATGTGAATAATGGCCACATACATGAATACAATTTCGAACCAAATCCATTTAGCTGCATCACTGAAATATTACAGGCCTAATTTTCTTTCATCCGTTTATACTGATTAAAGTCATTTTAAATTTCTAATAAATATGTCTGGAGTGGTGTTTTTATGTAAATGTATATTATATGAAAAATTGAAAGTAGAATATATCACAAAGATTGTTTATCAAATACACTGCTGGAATAGGGAAGTTAACATTTTAAAATTGGAATTTATACATAAATATATACAGTATCAAAACTTTACATGGCCGCAAGCAGTCAGGGAAACATTACACACTCTGGATCCAACACACAACTAAGACACCCGAATGAAATACATCATATCTGAATAACCAAATTCTCGTTTTATTTTACCCGCCGTCGAAGATAAGTATATTCTTCCTTTTGTCCAGCGGATGTTTTACAAGGTAGACATTTAGCAGAGATGTCCGATTGATCAATGCATCACAAAATGTACAGGGTTTTTAAGATGTACAATTGTGTTATTAAATGTTTTCTGAATAAAGTTTTGAAATTCATGTTTCATTGATTTTTAAAAATGGATTTTCCATTCCCTATCGGAATGCGAATGTCCTCTGACTAATGTAAGCAAGTACAAGTGTTTTCTCCTTTTCTTACCCTGGTAAATTGTCAGAACAAAATATGCATTGTTCACATTTACAAACATACAGCGATAAACACTTTAATATATACTTAAACTTGGGCTGTTTCACAATATGGCAACAGATCTGAGCTGTCCTTACTCCTCTCAGCTGAATAACCTGAAAATCTTCAGGATCAAAGGAAAGCCTTCTGTAGATATTTACACATAGGTATATGCTCTAACACTTATAATAAATGTTGACTTTGAAACTCCAGTTGCAGATTTAATGAGCCCTGTGGAGAAATATACAACCACATCATTACAACTTCTCTTGTGAAAGTATTATTAGGTTTATCATGAAAGGAAAGCGACCTTTTTACTAATACACAGTTTTAAAAAGGAAAAGGTCAAATTCATTATATAAAGTATACTTTAAATGATTTGTTATTAAACCTTGTTCACATTTCGTCATAAATGATATAGTAAGCTCCGTAATAATGTATAAAATGCCATGTGATTACCTATATGTAACACTTTTGGGGTTCCATAAAGAAACTTTGATATATCGTGTACTCATGTTTGTTTTAACTTAAAGAAATCACATTTATCATTGGTACAATAATTTATTCAAAGCCATATTAACACAGACTAGTGTACTCATGCAAAATGACATTCCATAGCCACCTGTACCTAGCATGCTTTGTAACTTAGGAAAGAAGACCCTGGATTCAACGAAACATTGGACGAATTCTCTCTCCCAATTTGTTCTAGTTAGATTAATTACGTTAACATTCAACATGTCTTTAGTCAAACTCATTCTTCCTTTACCTATTCGCATCTTTATTTTTCCAATGTAAGCCTATATCTCTGCTGTAAATGGCCACTGTAACGGTTTTAGTTACCGTTAGCATATCTCACAGCCTTATGATGGTACCGGTGTAATTAATTTTATTAATGTTTTCACAAAGTTAAAACCATATGTTCTCCATAAACGCTTTTTCTACTGTTATATGTATATTTTGAGAAATTGTGAATTAAAAATTATGTTTGTAAATAACAGATTTTTCAAATTTCTGCATTTTCATTCTTATGATTAAAAAAAATATGAAATCGTTTTCGTCATAAGATTATTTTTTATTTATCATCTTCATAATATAAGTGTAGACACAGCAATGTTGGTGTGGACGTGAAATCTTTTCGTAGCCTGTATTGCATTATGTCGCACATATATACACACATATAAATATCCACCAAACATATCTAAATGAACGAATATCACGTTTTATAAGAGTAGATTATCTTTATGTTCAGCTAATGTGAAATACACGTCAATAAATTACATACCATATGGCACCTTTATGTCATTTCATTTGAAATAGTGCACCAATCCACACATGTATCACTGGACGAGTGACACGAATTTCAATGACATATCTTTCAGGTAGCTAAATGACAACCCATTGCTCCTAATGGGAAGCTGCTCTCGCCAAATTTGCACACTGCATTAGTCGAAGCCATGCAGGCAAACGATTGAAAAGAAAAGTAAACAAAAATCAACGAACGTGGGTGCCCTAACTTCACGGCTCCCTAATTGGTTTATAGTCCGTATGCAATGGCGCTTCAAGCAAATTAGCTTTACAAACAAAATGGCCAAGGAAAAGGTGTCATTCCCCCACTTAAGAACAGGGGAGTTTGCAGAAGGGTTTTACATCTTGGTCACGATCCACGACCAACTGGGGTTCCATTTCATGCTCTGCCCTCGTGCGAAATATTTGCGATTTCGGGGTGATACAAGGGGTGGTTGTGTAATCAGGCCACTTGACACCCTCCTAACAAATAAACTAATTGAAAAACATTTAGAACCGAGAAGCGACGCGGAGAATCAAGGTTGGAACGAGAGGCGACCTGACATGCATTTCTGTCAAAACCTGTACCTACATGGTGGCATGAAATAAATCTGATTTATTCAATTCGAAAAAAAAAAATCTCCCATAAATCATATCTTGGCTGGCTTCTGACTAAAAGCGTTTTACTCTGCATGCCATTATAACACCCAGTTGGTCATAAAAGTGGCATTAGGGTTTGAAAAGTTTCTCTGAATGCTGAATTGAACTGAAAATAAAAATAGCAAATGCATGACCGGTGATAATGCGAGTTGAATTTCAATGTTGAAGGTGAAGAAACAGCTCGACATTCCAGGTGCTTGACATTACCCATCCTCACAACAGTTGTTATCAGCAAAATATTCTCCACTTACAAAAGTTTGATATGGAATAAATGATTAAATACCAGTTTTAATGTGAACTCACCTCAGCCCGTTAGAAGGTTGAAATTGATAGGTTGACAGTCGTATAAGGTTTGAATGAGGCCAAGCGCCTTTGCTTCAATACTTGTATGACGACAATGTAATATGTATAGGGTTGTATGAACGCTTGGACGGAATACAACAAGAAGGTTTCTTACAACCCGTTAAACATGTATGGTCCTATTAATGTGAATATATTAAGAAATCGAAATTGACAAGTACCTTTAAACGAGAAATAAATACTATTAGATGGTTCTAACGCATGACTTCGTCTGTGCAAATCTTGAATATTCAGCACTGCCTTATATTTCGAAATAGTTATATTGTTGGTTTCGTGCACTAATGGGTGTCAAATACGTTGTTATTATGTCGTTGATATAACACTTGTGAGAAGCGTCATATAGTATTTCTAAATAGTGAATTTAGTTCTGTGTACATATAACCTTAAACGTGAGTAAACATGCAAGAAACACTGTTTACCCTGGCACGGAATAATATAAATGTGAATAATATTGAAAATGAATTGTTATAATTATGTTTATAAGCTTAACTTATAACTTAGTATTACTAATGATAGGACAGCATGATAGAACAACAGTCGTCCTACACATGATATTAAACACATTCAGGAAGTGAAAAGGATCCGATTGTCATTCCTACAGATGATTAGGATACCAAAGGATTTTAAAATACCATTGGTAAGGTAAACTGGGTTTTACCTCGGGTCCGAGATTACTGCACTTCTACAGCAACTTGTATTCAGGTATGTGTTTATGGGGATTTATGCCGTCTTACTGCACACTCTACCATACCGGAGCTTAACGTGGGTACTCTACTTATACACAGTCCGAGCCGGCCAGTCCTGGTTGTATCTATCCCGTTCATGCCGAACGCCAGGGAGGATGAAAACCAGTATCTTCATCATAACAGTCAACAATCTAAGAGCATCATATGTAAGATTGATGAAAATGTATATCCCATTTCAATGTCTTTTTCCATTTTTCTTCATTTTGTGGAGTACACACACGTGTGAAATAACCACAAGATCTTTAAAAATACTGTCGGTTTTCTCACAATATGTTGTTTGTTGGTTGTTTAACGCTATACCCAGTAACGCCAACATTATATAATAGTCTGTAAGTAGTCGAGCTTGGACCAAACAATCCAGTATTTGGCATCATGATCATACGATGGCGTACATCAACGATTATTCTTTTGTAATTACAAAATCCTCCAACACATTTTCAAGATGCGATTTAAATGTATCAATCTGGTCAAAACTTCAAAACGGGCATCTGAATTTGAATTTAAAAAAGATGAAATGAGTCTGCTATCATGTTCAAGTCGTATTTCAGAGTCTGGAACGGCGTCTTCAACAAATGAAATGTTACACAGTCATCTGCAGGAACGTGATGTATGAGACCAAACCGAAACCACACCAAATGTTGTGCCCAATTATCTCCAATATCAGAAGTAATGAACGGGTCAATAAGGACTGACCCCCGCCCATTCACTTGACCACTGTCTTTTGTTCGTTCACTTTTTTCCTGAAAAGCGTGACCATTTGTCCTCTCCATTGTGTCCATCAAACAAAAGACATGGACGTTCTCATTATCATAAATCAGAAGGGATGAAAAAGCCTTCTGCCACCAAATTACACCGAAATGTACATGTGATGGTGTGAAATCTATTACTCATTCTGTAAATCAAAAAGGAGCAAATTTATATTAATTAATCTAAAGGTAGTTTCAAAGAATACAGTAACGCCATGAAATGACAAAAGATGTTCATTTAGTGAATGGTAATCAATAAAAAATCACGAGGCATAGCATTAGGAGGAAAAGACTTCACGGCTTCACATATTCCTGAAGGAGGAACCCAAAGTGAAATAAGTTAGAGAGAAGAAGTCAATATGCAAAGAAACTATTACGATCTTGAAAGTTTAAGGTTCAGAATACTATTAAAGGTTTTTCAAACGTTGACAATTAGTGCATTAAAATTTCTGTGTTGCCATTATAACAGTATGAACGTCTCGGGGGAAAGGTGGAGTTTTCAACGAAAGTAATTCATCCCCAGCTTTAAACCTCTAGCCCCAAATTCCCTACACCCCAAAAGTACACTGTTCTTTGGAAGTGCTTGATATCCGAAAATAGATTTGTTTGTGAAAAATAAAAGAAATAAACGTCTTCGGTTCCTCCTTTCAAAGAAAAAATGTTTTGAAGCTATAGCCTAAAAAATATTTGACAAAAATGCCAACGGATCACATTTATCAATACCAAAATCGAAAATACCAATGGTATAAATCAAAAGCAGATTCCAACATAAGAATCAAATGGCAATTTATATTTATACGGACTGTGAATTGCTTACCCAAATCGGAGATATATATAGATAAACTTCAAACGAAATCTTGTGTCATTAAGTCAAATCCATCGGCATTTGAAATGTTTACTAAATTTCAATCTTCTACAGTAACCCTGCATCGATCGTCAGAAGAACCGATCTGATTGGACAGTTTCAAAAGTCTATACGCGAGAGGGTTTGCCCCAGGGGCTTTGCTTTGCCCCAAGTGTGACATTAACCAACCTTCTGCGGGGAAGCTCGACGTTGCCCTAATGAGTTGGCTGTTGATTTGTGGGCTTCTTGTCCAAAGGTTACGGTTCCCCTTCTAACTGAAAGATCTGACAAGTACATTTGCCCAATACATGACTGGAGCATTGTACCCAACTGTTCATCATTACCCTAGGCCTATGGTAGCCCTATCTCGTTTTGAGAAGAAAGCCATTTAGACGATGCTCAAAGGCGCCAGCAGAGACGTGCTTTAGAACAACACCATGCATTACATCCCTGAGGTTGAACATCAGATATACCTTTTTCCTTTATTGAACTCAGCCATAGCAGAATTGATTATATTACTCGAGGTTTACCCAAAGGCCGTGCATTTTGGTCAAGTGTCTAATGCTTTGTATTAAGTGCAATGAGTCATTCTTATTTGCCAGAAAAATGACAGATCTTTCTCACCAACTTGACCGGAAAACTGTTTCAAACATTGATTATTTTGTTTACTCACCTCGCTTTGCTTAACGTCGATTAAAAGCATTTGTTAGGATGGTAACGATATCGTATTTGTTTTTTGTGTTCTATTTGTAATAAGGTTGTAGCACTATTCAATGAATTTATATTGCTTTTTCAAATAGTTTTTTTTCCTAAAACAAAACCAACTACACTGAACGTTCGTGTGATCTATTTTCCTTTAGGTGGGGGCTTTGTTTCCAATTTTCACATCACATAGTATATATATGTATACTATATATATGATACTATGTCACATTATAGTGCAACTGTTCACTGTCTGTAGTGGCTACTCTCGGCTGTTTGTTACAAACTCAACGCTGTATTTTGATCTAACAACTAACCACTGCCTTAAGATCCGGTAATAATCACCATTTGTGGAACTACATTCTTCAGAACTGACCAGTAACCCTTGTATGTACAATTAATAGCTAATCTTTGGCTGAAGAAGTAGTACGTATTTAGAAGTATGTAGAAGTAACAACTAGTGTCTGCCTGTGGAACAGATAACTAACCACTGTCTGTTGAACTAGTAACTAACCACTGCAGGTTGCACTAGTAACTAACCACTGAACTAGTAACTAATCTTGAAAGTATACAAACCACTGCCCGTTGAACTATAGTAACTAACCACTCTATGTTGAACAAGTAACTAACCACTGTCTGTTGAACTAGTAACTAACCACTCTCTGTTGAACTAGTAGCAAACCACTGTCTGTTGAACTAGCAACTAACCACTGTCTGCTGAACAAGTAACTAACCACTGTCTGTTGAACTAGTAGCAAACCACTGTCTGTTGAACAAGTAACTAACCACTGTCTGTTGAACAAGTAACTAACCACTGTCTGTTGAACTAGTAACTAACCACTGTCTGTTGAACAAGTAGCTAACCACTGTCTGTTGAACTAGTAGCAACCCACTGTCTGTTGAACAAGTAACTAACCACTGTCTGTTGAACTAGTAGCAACCCACTGTCTGTTGAAAGAGTAACTAACCACTGTCTGTCGAACAAACAAGTAACCATTGTATGTTGAACTAGTACTTACCACTGCAGGTTGCACTAGTAACTAACCACACTATGTTCAGCTAGTAACTAACCACTGAATTAGTAACTAATCTTGAAAGAGTAACTAACCACTGTCTGTTGAACTAGCAACAAACCACTGTCTGTTGAACAAGTAACCACTGTCTGTTGAAAGTAGCACTGTCTGTTGAAAGAGTAACTAACCAGTAGTCGAACAAAGTAACCACTGTCTGTTGAACAAGTACCACTAATCAGTAACTGTCTGTTCAACTAGTAACCACTGAACCACTGTCTGTTGAACTAGTAGCAACCACTGTCTGTTGAACTAGCAACAAACCACTGTCTGTAACTAACCACTGTCTGTTGAACTAGTAGCAACCCACTGTCTGTTGAACAAGTAACTAATCACTGTCCACTGTCTGTTGAACTAGTAGTAACTAACCACTGTCTGTTGAACTAGTAAATAACCACTGTCTGTGAACTAGTGTTGACCACTGTCAAGTAACTAATCACTGTCTGTTGAACAAGTAACTAACCACTGTCTGTTGAACTAGTAACTAACCACTGTCTGTTGAATAAGTAACTAACCACTGTCTGTTGAACTAGTAACTAACCACTGTCTGTTGAACTAGTAACTAACCACTGTATGCTGAACTAGCTGCTAACCATTCTGTGTTTAATTAGTAAGTAACCACTGTCTGTTGAACTAGTAAGTAACCACTGTCTGTTGAACTAGTAGCAAACCACTACCATTGGAATCAGTAACTAACACTCTGTGTTTAACTAGTTACTAGCCGCTCTATGCTGAACTAGTAACAAACCATTCTGTGTTGAACAAGTAACTAACCACTGTCTGTTGAACAAGCTCATAGCAATTGTCTATAGAACAAGCAAGCCAACTGTTCACCGCACAAAACACAGGAACATAAAGTAGTGAAAATAAGGAATTACATGAAACATTGTCAAAGATGGTTCAAATGTGGAACTGTCCTTCACATACCCACACACAACTTTTACAAAGCTTCACTGCAGCCTTGAATGTAACCCTGATCAAACATCTTCAGAGCAAGATTCGTACAAGAATCTAAAACTCACCCAAGACGTAAGTCCATAAATAACGAAGGGAATGCTACACGAGAGACACATTTTAATGTAGCTTAAATATATCACTTGTAAGCCAGCCTTATACATCGCTTAATGACGTAAGTAATTGTGAGCCTTTCTGTTGTCAAGCCACTAAGTGATGGGCGAGGAGGAACGAAGTAGTGGCATCATATGCTCGCTCCGCACCATCTTCATCTCATGCCAATGGGATGCTTTCATGACAAGAGCCATGTCGGTCTTCATTAGCAAGGAATACCGTTATGGCCATATTATGAATGATTTAGAGTATTGTTTGTTACATAACATTTAGACTAGAGTTATTGTTATTGCTAAAGGTAATTGATGGTCTAATGATGCTTGTAAATAAGTTCTGGGACATAGACTGGGTAGAGGTTGCAGCGTTAAACATTATTTCTGCAGGAACGATAAAATATTGCTTTAACTTTTATAAAGATATAATATATTTGCTTTAGGACAAGTTCTATTTTTCACTTGTCAATGCTGATATGGGAAACGCAAATTGCAGCTTTATATATACTCATGCCAATAATGGTTGTCACCCTCCCACCCCAACCCCCACACCTCCTCTCCAATAAAAAAAATGAAGGGGGTGACAACCATTATTGGCATGAGTATAGATTAAAATTGTTGAAAATG